TACTATTCATGTGTGCTCTTTGTTTATAAATCTTCTATTAAAAAACACCACCACCAAAGTTTGTGGTAATTTTTTTATACTCATATTTTATGTGAAGATAAATCCGTTAATTACCTTTTAAAAATAAATATTTTCAGAGATTTGTATCTGCTGGTTTGAAGGTATCAAGACGGCAAAAAAAAAAGTTAAATCATTAAATGTAAATTCAGATTGTTGTCAGACATAAATCTAAATACAGACTTTGATAAGATTTACGTTTTATTTAAACTGCAGCAAATGTATCTAGTCTGAATAAAAATGGATTTCAGGTAGGAAAGCATACTATTAAAATCTTATGTAGTTTTATTTTTTTGTTGTACAAGCACAACTATGTATATTTAATTTTATAGTTAAAAGTATTAGTGCAAAAAGAGTGCATTTCTGTGTACGTTTTCGAGTTTTACTTGAATGTTTTTACAGATTTTCTCCCGCTTGTTATTCTACGGTGGGGCTTTAATTTTGAATTTATATGTGACGTCATTGACGCGCTTCCGCCGGAGCTGTTTCGGTGTGACACCAGATCATGAAGGCTGAAGATCGAATCACACCGAGTCTTGAAAATTGTGTTTACACCAGCTGTTACTGGTAAATCTGTTTATACTGTCTGTTATAGCTGCCATGAAACAAAACACAATATTCCTATAAAATTATTTGTTATAGTCTCGTTCAATTACAAATTTAATATTTATTTTTGGGGAGGTGAAGCCTTTATCACCTGTAATATCTGTTTTAAAAAAAAGGTATTAAATCTCTTCGTTCATCTTAATGTCAGTAAATTATGTCCACTGCTTCAGTCTGTTTGTTTCATCTCTTCTGGGTTGTTTTGTTTGTCTTGCAGTGAAGAAAATGTTTGGAAGCTGTGTGAGTTTGTTCAAACAGAGAGAACCGCGCAGCTGGAACATCTGTTTGTGGTTTTCATCTCTAATGACAACAGAATGGTGAGAAAATGAAGCTGCTGGGACAAAATCATTGAAATATGTAACAATTATTGCTAATGGGCCAAATGAACAAAGACAATGACACCACAAACCACCTAATTATATATTACACTGTTGTTAATCAATTTATGGCAACTTTTTTATACTCTCAAAACAAGTTTCACTAAAACAATACTGACTGGATACTGACTGCGGGAGAAGAGGCTGGTGGAGCAGAGGAACACCCAAAGCCTGATCAAATGAAACCACAAGGAACAGAACTAAACACGAGAATCACAAACACAAAAAATAAAACGTAATAACCAAAAGAGAACTAACCTGACAATAAACACGTAGAACTACTGAAAAAAGAAACCAAACCTCCCAGAGCCTGACAACAAGTGATGTTTTGTTTTCCATCAGATTCCCCTCTGGAAGCAGAAGTCTGGATGTGGTGACCGCCCTGTGATTTGGGTCGGTGACTTCCCTGCGTATAACTACGATATTACAACGGTGTCATTATGACATCATCAATAATGTCCCTGCATGTGTTAGGATTACCACGTGATCCTGCTTCAGACGGGTCTTCAGTCGGACTCACAGGTTTACGATCTGGACACGGAGCTGCCTTTTCCCTGCAGCCTCAGGCTTTACGGCGCTCAGGCTCTTCGCTCAGACCGCCAACTCAAACCTGAGTATCACAGGTAACACAGGTCGCTACAGTAACACACCTGAGTGACATCACAATAACACCTTGTGTTTGTGACAGGAAGTTGCGCGTGATTCCTGCAGACAGCTTCCTGTTGAACTTTGCGTCTGATCGATCTCACATGAAGAACGCCGATGGAACCTGGAAGATGCCCCCTCCTTCTTACCCCCCCATACAGGCTGCAGGTAAATTATTGTTTAGCCTGTTTATATTTATATGTACAGGTTCTGGTCATAAAATTAGAAAATCATGAAAAAGCTGATTTATTTAAGTAATTCCATTCAAAAAGTGAAATTTTATTATATTCATTCATTATACACAGACCAATATATTTCAAATGTTTATTTCTTTTAATGTTGATGATTATAACTGACAACTAATGAAAACCCCAAATTCAGTATCTCAGAAAATTAGAATATTGTGAAAAGGTTCAGTATTGAACACACCTGGTGCCACACTCTTAATCAGATAATTAACTAAAAACACCTGCAAAGGTCTTTAAATGGTCTCTCAGTCTGGTTCTGTAGCTACACAATCATGAGAACGACTGCTGACTTGGCAGTTGTCTGAAAAACGACCATTGACACCTTGCACAAGGAGGGCAAGACACAAAAGCTCATTGCTAAAGAGGCTGGCTGTTCACAGAGCTTTGTGTCCAAGCACATTAATAGAGAGGCAAAGAGAAGGAAAAGATGTGATAGAAAAAAGCGTACAAGCAATAGAGATAACTGCACCCTGGAGAGGATGGTGAAACAAAACTCATTCCAAAATGTGGAGGAGATTCACAAAGAGTTGACTGCAGCTGAAGTCAGTGCTTCAAGAACCACCACGCACAGACGTATGCAAGACATAGGCTTCAGCTGTCACATTCCTTGTGTCAAGCCACTCTTGAACAAGAGACAGCGTTAGAAGCATCTCGCCTGGGCTAAAGACAAAAAGGACAGGACTGCTGCTGAGTGGTCCAAAGTTATGTTCTATGATGAAAGTCAATTTTGTATTTTCTTTGGAAATCAAGGTCCCAGAGTCTGGAGGAAAAGAGGAGAGGCACAGAATCCATGTTGCTTGAGGTCCAGTGTCAAGTTTCCACAGTCAGTGATGGTATGGGGTGCCATGTCATCTGCTGGTGTTGATCCACTGTGTTTTCTGAGGTCCAAGTTCAACGCAGCCGTCTACCAGGAAGTTTTAGAGCACTTCATGCTTCCTGCTGCTGACCAACTTTATGGAGATGCAGATTTCATTTTCCAACAGGACTTGGCATCTGCACACAGTGGCAAAGCTACCAGTACCTGGTTTAAGGACTATGGTATCCCTGTTCTTAATTGGCCAGCAAACTCACCTGACCTTAACCCCACAGAAAATCTCTGGAGGTATTGTGAAGAGAAAGATGTGATAGACCAGACCCAACAATTCAGAAGAGCTGAAGGCCACTATCAGAGCAACCTGGGCTCTCATAACACCTGAGCAGTTCCACAGACTGATCGACTCCATGCCACGCTGCATTGTTGCAGTAATCCAGGCAAAAGGAACAACAACTATTGAGTGCTGTACATGCTCATACTTTTCAGTTGGCCAACATTTCTAAAAAATATCATGTTTTTAAAGTGGTCTTAAGTAATATTCTAATTTTCTGAGGAACTGAATTTGGGGTTTTCATTAGTTGTCAGTTATAATCATCAACATTAAAAGAAATAAACATTTGAAATATATCAGTCTGTGTGTAATGAATGAATATAATATACATGTTTCACTTTTTGAATGGAATTACTAAAATAAATAAACTTTTTTTTTATCATATTCAAATTTTATGACCAGCACCTGCATATGTATACACATACAAACAAAGATGATGTCATCTTGTTATGATGCATTTCCTCCTCAGAGAGTCAGATGAACCTGGATGACTTCATTAGCATGAACCCTGCTGTCGGCTGGGGCACCGTCTTCAGTCTGAATCAGTTTATGCAGAAATTCATAGGAAATCCGTCCACAGCATCATCATCTTCATCATCAGCTCAATCTTCATCAGCAGCATCTTGTTAACTGACATTTTGGGATTTAGGAGTTGTTGTTTTTTTTGTTGCTTTGGATGTCTTGTTGGAAATGTTGCAGTTTCCTCCTGGTCTTAACGAACATTTGGTCAAGTCTGACAGAGAGATAAAGACAAACAAACAACTTTTATTTTCGTGTGGAACTGAAAGACAGCTCGGCTCTCCTGAACTTCATTCACACCAGCTCCTGGAGCGCAGAAAACAGCAGAAACATGGAGGTGCTGGGTGTTGAGGTTAACAGTCCTCTGCACAGATCCCTCTGGAAAACGCTGATTCTTTGTTTTGTAACATCACATCTGTCAGTCCACTTATTTACAGCGCACGTGACTGTCAGGAATTGAACAATAAATGGATTCAGTTTGTAGCTCAGTCTGTCACGTTTTGACCCTAATCTTTAAATAAAAAAGACATTTTCTGTTTAGTCTGCAGTCTATGTCTGTTCTGTTAAATCAGCAATAAATCAGGAGCGCCAATCAATCACTGATAATTCACACAGACTTTAAAGTGCAGTTTGCGCTACATCTGACATCTCAGATGAGAATACTTCATTTGCAGCGTGTGGTGGTTCTTCGTGGGACAGAAACTGGTTTGAAGTTGTTTCTTAACCACAGCAATTGACTGTAAATACTGTAGATAATTAGTAGAACCTGTTTAGTTTAAAAGGATTACTGTATACATTTTGCTTTATATTGGCACTAACGTGAAGGATAAAATATGTTTAGTTTCAAATCATCATTTACTGGAAGAAGCAGCAAGGCAGCTTTATTCCTGCAGCACATTTCAGTAACGAGGCAACTCCAAGAGCTTTACACAAACAACTAAAAACATTGTGACAAAGTGCCGAAGAACAGTAAAAGATCATAGAAAAATAAATTACACTCGAAGAAAGAACAGTTCAAAACATTAAAGAATGAAAGCAAGGCCTGAGTATATTCAAATTTAAATATACTTTATTAATCCCAAAGGGAAATTAATTGTTGTTGTAGCTCATCTTGGTTTTATTAAAGTTGTTCTAGATGCTGATGTCTTTTGGCAGGAAGGATCTCTTGGAGCAGTCCGTCCCACAGCGGATCCGAAGAAACTGGCTACAGATGTCAATCTGTCCACCCAGACAAGCAGGCCTCTCGGTCCTCTTGGGCAGCAGGACTGCCTGAATGTCGGGCAGAACTTCTCCCTGAGCGATGGCCATTTCTCCCAGCAGCCTGTCAAGCCCTTTATTGCCACAGACTTAACTGCAGGTGCCGGGGGATGATCTTGGTCCTCCCGCTGTCACAAGCTGCGTTTCTCGCTACCTCCAAGATCTCTGCAGTCAGGCACTCAAGCACTGCCTCCAGGTAGACGGGAATGCATCCACGGCGCCTCCTTTTCAACTCATTTGTGATTTGGGGCTGTAGTTGAGATTTGAGCTTTTGAGATGTTAATCAGCTGCTCCCAGTTGTAGAAAACCACCCTATTGTCATGGTTATGCATCATAACAAATGTCCAAATGTAATAAAGGTTTCAGTAAAAATCCTGCCAGCAACACAGTATCTGATACCAGAGGAAGTAATCATCCGAAAAAAGCGATTTGCATTCAGAAAAAAGATTAATTAAAGTTTTCAAAAGCAAAATCTCAGAATGAATGGGAGAGCTACTCCAACATGCAGCCACCTTGAGCGGCGCAATTCTGGAACCCAGAAATTAAGTATTAAGAAATGGTATATAAAATACAGAATAAAAATAATCCTTTGCTTCAATTAAAGGGAACAGCAAACAGGACAGTCTTCAACCTCGTTTTAAAGGAACTCAGTTGCAGCTGTCTGGCAGTTTTATGGGAGTTTGTTCTGAAATGTTCAAAAAGCGTTCAATTCTAAAATGTTGCATAGAAGCTGAATGCAGCTTCTGCATGCTTGGTTCTGATTACTGGGATAGCTTTAAACCAGACAACCTCAGAGCGGTTCAGAGTCCAGCAGGAGACTGGAGATGGATTGTGGACCCAGTTATAGTCTGCAGTAAGTATGCACAAAAAATATGTGTGCTATTATTTGATCTGTAAAATCAAGCTTAAATCAGTGGATTGTCACCTAATTAAAAATCTTAGCCTTTACCATGAAGTGGCCTGCCTTTAATGCTGAGCTGCTGTTAAACGAACTTCACTAAAAACAATTACTGAAGCATTTAGTACCTAAACTTTAACATCCTTAAAGTTCAGATGTGCAACGCTCAGAAATACATAAAATGAAAGCTAAAAGAATACTACCACATTTTTCTGACTATAAAGTGCACTTAGAATCCTTTGATTTTCTCAAAAATCAACAGTGAGCCTTATAATCTGGTGCACCTTATGTATTAATTCTGGTTGTGCTTACTGACCTCGAACTGATTTTATTTGCGAGAGACAAAGCTTTGTCCCTAGTTACCCATGTCTCGAGAGAAATTTGATAGTCGGCTCATATCCGGGGCCAAACAGGGGAGTCAGATTCAGATAAGCCACAATTGTTGATTTTTCTTCAGGCAGACCGTTTTGTCTCGTGAGCCTCAAGTCCTGCTGGAACTTTCCGGTCCAAAATGGCCAAATTTATGGGTGTTTCCCCTCCACTGATCCAAGTTATGAGCCTTCTTCAAGGTCGATCCCAACATGCTGACGAGTCCAAAGAGCCTCAGGTGGCCTGTGATTCTCACAAATCGTCTCCATCTTATGGTTTATCTCGTAAATCAGCTGATGTTGAGTACTCTTAGCACGAACCAAACCATCGCACAGACTCAGAAGCTTTGTCATGGCCGAAACTGCTGCTGAAGTTTTCTTCAAAAGTTAATAAAACAGAGCCCCACCGATGCCAAAGAGCAGAACCCCTTCTATCATAATACAAATTTATAAATGTCTTCAGCGTCCTCCTGAGACAGAACTGAGACACATCTGCTGCCAAACTCCCCACAGATCTCTGACGTACCCCACAGCGTGAGTCTCAGTCAGACAAGAGGGTTCTCCAGGACCCTGACATTTTGTTGAAAAGATTTTGTCGATTGCATTGAAAGTCCAACTCACCAGATCTACAAACTTTTTTTTTTTTTCATTTGGGCGGTGTGTACCAGGAGCTTCAAACACACAGAGAGCAGAGCAGGAGGAAGAGGAGAACAGGGGGAGGGAGAGCATGAGTGTCCACCTTGAGCGAGAGCCAGAGTAGAAAAAGTAGAAATAACTTGATGTCTGTTAGATTGTTAGTTTGTTTTCTCTTTTGGTTTACTCAGACCTGATGAAAGTTTGTAAATTGTTGGTGAGTGGCAGATTTCTGAGGTTGTCATGTTGGTTTCTGTTTACTGACATACGTAGGTTATCCATTATTGTAAATAGGCTATAATTAGATGCTCAGTAGAACTAGTTCGACCACAATCAAACCAGTCACCTTTAGTTTAATAGGATTATACATTAAGAGGAGTGGTTAAGACAACATTCCTCCATGTGTGGAGAATCAGGTCTGTTTAGATCCCAGTCATTTACTGGAAGGATCAACGAGCTGATCAGCTTCAAACTCAGCAGTGAAACAGCCGAGGTAAAGTTAGAGACTTGTCCAGATGTTTTATTTCATCCAGCAGTTAATTATAATTAAATGTAATCCATGCCCTGACGTGAGTTTTCATGTGCACTGTCAGAGTCAATGAGCTAAAATTTGGGTAGCTGTTTTAAAGAAAATTTAGCTTTTTGTCCAAGATGTTTTAATTAGTCTGAAGAGTAAACTCTGAACTCACAAACCTGATTGTAAAAGTAGACAAATGCTGAACTGTGTCAGTTTGCCGTTTGACGCTGTAAACACTTAGAAATGCATAATGATAAACTACAAATACATCTGTTTGAACTCATGCAGCTTCTTTCCTGAGTAATCATGAGCTGCAACCGCAACACTGAACCAAGTGAAGGAGGAGCAGGTGGAGGAGCAGGTGGAGGAGCAGGTGGAGGAGCAGGTAGAGGAGCAGGTGGAGGAGCAGGTGGAGGAAGTTGGATCAGCGTTCTCGGTTGGGCAGCAACACTGACTCTTTTTTTCGGTGTGCCTGCTTGTAAGTTAGAGCTTTGTAAAGACTTCGTCCAGCTACAATGAATAATACAGAAATGATAAAACCAGTTGCACTTTACTTTCAGGTGTCTTTGCATTTTAATAACTTTATACACATGTCCCATGTTTTCAAGAAGAAATTAAACTTCCTGAAAAATGAGTTCTGGAATGTTAGAGCAGAAATAACCTTTAAAAAAAACAAGTTTACAAAGGCAATGGGTTAAATTGTTTACGGTTGACGCTTTGTTTGAGTTGAAGTACCGTATTTTTCCGACTATAAGGCACACTTAAAATCCTTTAATATTCTCAAAAATCGACAGAGCCTTATAATCAGGTGCGCCTTATGTATTAATTCTGGTTGTGCTTACTGACCTCGAACTGATTTTATGTGGTTATCGTAAATGAGTTGAATAAAGTTTGACTTATCTGACTGTTTTGTTTCGCTTAATGCGCCTTATAAACAGACCCGTTCATTGATATTGCGCCTTATAGTCCGAAAAATACGGTATTTGTAACATGAGGCTGACACCTAGTCACTTCATTAGTCTGGGAATTTAAGCTGACTTTCCAAGCGGACAGCTGGTTTCAAATATAACAATCACCGTCGTAAGGATCAGTTAAATTATCTAATGAAATTGTGAACATTTTGAACCTGCGTAGTTCAGGTCTCAGCGAAAGACTTCAGCTGCTCTTCTTCCTTCATGCTTGTTTTTGTATTTATTTGACTCAGGGTTGGAGAACGTTAGGGCCAAAAAACAGGCATATCTTGTAAAAAAGAAAGAAGAAAACGACAAAAGGGACGGGGAGAACAAAGAGAAGATTAAACAGGACATCTCTAGAGAACTCAAGGACTTCACTAGAGAACTCAAGGTCCTCACTAGACAACTCAAGGACTTGGATCCTTTGGAAAATCTGTTGATTAAGAGACGAGATATTTACTGCAGCTGCTTCAAACTGGAGTCTAAGCAGACAAAGAAGGAAAACATGATTCAGAGAGCTTTTATATCTAAATACCCCACGCATCGGGAAGAGTTAGAGAGGATCTTCAGCAAAGATAATTACTGTGTTGCCTTCTTGAATCAAAACAAAGAGAAGAACGGAAGACTGGTGTGGGAGGTCCTGACCGCCATGAGGAGTGAGAAAGAGAAAATACAACAAAATGTAAAATAAATATGAATTCCACTTCATTTTAGCTTTACATCATTGTGAATAAATAAGAGAGAATAAATTCTGTGGTTCATTTGCTTACATCTTTCTGCTGACGATCATAAATAAACTTTTGCTGCAAAATCTGCTCATTATTCCCTATTTCTGGTGATTTAAACCACAAACATGAAGGTGTCTGCTGACTTCAAATCCCCTCTTTCCCCCTCAAACCTCTCTGCTTATGAACAATATGATGAATGTCACTTAGTTTAATTTGTAAGAAATTACTTTGTGTATACCTTTCATCATAGCTATTATATTTGTTTTTTACTTAACTATTAACGTCACATTTAGATGTTACACTTATAAAGCATGGTTCTGCTTTGCTGCATATTTCCTTTTTCAGAGAAGCAGATTATTACATTTGTTTTCATTCACTTGTCAGAATTAACTGAAAGCGTCGGAGGGCATTGTGTCACTGCAACTTCATGACAACGCATCATAACACTTATTATTTATTCATTCCTTCTGTTTAAGTAAGACCATACTCAAAAGTTCAGATAAATGTGTATTTCACTTTCAGCAGACAGGACAGGAGTTTCAACATTGATCAGAGTAACTGGTTTAAATATCTATTTCTCAGTTCTTTGTTAAGTGACATGGGGTGAGGGGAGTGTGATCTTACAGCAGATGGACAGTTTGGGTGGGGTGCTGAGCCCCAAATAAAAAGGAACAAAAGAACAGCTGAGAGAAGCTCCAGCCGCTGCTCAGAATGGGAGACTCCCCAAACAGACAACAGATGCTATTACTGAAACATGTGGAGGCATAAATGTGCTTCTCTCTAAAATGGAAGTACTTTTTTTTTTTTAATTGCAAGAACCAAAGTGTTAATAGTTTTGTCTGACTGTCTCCAAATGCTGTCATGTTTACTTATGTAAATGAAATAAAAGCAGCACTCATGTACAGGGATTTAGGAGATAATGGTCACATCAAATCAGTGACACAAAAACTAAAACTGCTGGCCCACCATGAGACAGAGGTCTTGATTAGAAAATAAATAATTTTTAAAAATAGTCCATCAAAAATAAATCAATTATAAATTAATCAATTAAGTAAATAGAAGGCATACGGTCAAGGAAACTCTCTTGTAAATAAACAAATAAACAAATAAATGTGGATGGTGGGCGGGGCTTAATGCACTCTCGCTCTCTGCTGCTGCGTCTCTGTTGTTGCTCCGCTGAGCCGAAGGGAAACATCGAGCAGGAGCCGTGACGATGCTGCGGCGGTGGGACTGAAACACAGAGCTAACACCCGCTCTGCCGACCTCTGCTCCGGTTCTGTTATCTATCCCAGGACGAACCGGTTTAGCTGCCGCGGTCTGGGTTGCACGTTCTGACGGAGGACGGGCTGGATAGCCATGTAGCTCCGTTAGCATGTTGCTGCTAATCGGCCAGTTTCTTAAACGTCGAACGCTTTAGCCGGAGACTCCGGCTGTTAGCTCGTTGTGATGTACTTGTCAGATTATTTCGCTTTTTTTCAAAACATCATCCCTGTGTAGCTATATGCTCATATTTTTTCACAATATGTGTCGTGTTGAAACAGCGGAGTCCGTTCTCGGGGTAAAGCCGTTGATTAACGTCCTGTTTTTTGCTAACAGCTAACAGGTAACGCTAGCTGTAACTCTGGGCTCTAGATGTCTTTGTTTCCGAGCAGTAGTTCAGGATGTGAGAGCAGGCTGGCTGCGGTAGTTAGCAGGTAGCTTAGATTACTGTAGATGCTAAGTTGACAGGTAAAGCAGAACCTCGGGTCAGTTTTTATTGTGCTCATCTGACATGCAGCTCTCAGTTCCGTGACCTTGGGCTCATCTTCTGCATCAGATTCATCACAATAAGGCTCGCAGCTGCTTGACACCGAGGGTTATTATGGCCCTCAGTTCAGGCTGCAGGCAGAGTGTCGTCTACCTGCTCATCTTGTCAGGTGAGTCCTCTTAATCCCCAATTTTCTGTTAGAACCAGGACTCCTGTTTATATTTGGCTTTTATTATGTTGCTTTGTATTTAATTTACAGGTTCTTATATGAGGGAAAAAACTTAATTATGAGCCAATTTTTATATGTTAGTCAGTTTTACAGTATTTAACTAAAGGAGTGTTTTCGTGCACGTTTTTCTAGGTTATCATGAATAAATGTGGCACATTTAACCCAACTCCTGCCATGCAATCTCACCTTGTTGTCTAAAAGTTATCATAATTCAAATATAATTTACAACTCTGATTCAAGTAACTGTTTATAGAATTGCCCAAATGTTTAGAAAGGATGCTCCCAGACTTTCACCTTCACCACAGGATCCTATGGTGTGTTGTTTACCAATTGAAAGCAGATTATACCATCCCATAATCCACAATAACACAAATATTTCTAATGATGCACTGTAGGCATATGGTCAGATTAGCAATATAAAGTAAAACAAAGCATGAAAACCAATTTTAGCTGGATGATTGAAGTAGTTTTTCCATATTTTTTTAATAAACATAAAATGCGTGCAACATAGCACGCAAGCTGTAATCAATCTTTTATGATGCGCTTTCTGTCGCGTCTTTCCTTTGTGTTGTTTTCACACAGTAAAGAGGAAACAAAGACACACAGCCTATTTTTCTGTTCTTAATAGTTCAAGATAAACCTCTGTGTTTCAAGCCATTACAGACTTCGTTTGTGTAAAAAAATAAAATAAAACATCACTCTTATCAGGGCAAAAAGTTTTCATGATGGAACATTAAATTAAATGAAAATGAGACTAAAATGTTGGCATTCAAACCTCCCTGGTAGATTATGTTCATAAAATAGACGAAGATCTGTGTAGATTTATTTTTCTATTTATGACACGGTTTGTTAATACTTTATGCCTCGTGTTTTTCCCAGGATGCATCGCTGCTTCTCAAAGAAATGACAATGTCTACGTGTCTGGATTTTCTAATGGTGAGTTTAAGGTCACTCGGCTATCATCACAATAGTTGGCAGTGCAAGTCTTAACAGAAACCTTCCCTTACTCCTCCCATCCAGCTTGTGGTGATGCGGCGGAGCTCCTGCGAGCATCTAGTGGCGTCATCACCAGCCCCGGTTGGCCCTTTCAGTATCCAGCTAGGCTGAACTGTAGCTGGAACATAAGAGCAAGGCTGGGAGACTCCATCACCATCAGGTAAAACAGATCGTTTCCTGATTGACAGTTGGTGTGGGGACACGTGTTGGACATAATTTTATTGTTTAAAATTGTGGTTAAATGGCTTAGTGTCACTTGTCACACCGTGTCCACATATAAACATTAGCAATTCTCTGGCACAGTTCTGTTGGAGTTTTTGTCCCTTTGTTTTGGCAGATTGGAAGAGTTCCCCTATTTTTGAGTCTTGAGTTTAGGGTTTTGAGAATGTTGTTTACAAAAACTACAAAAATGTTAGCTTGCTTTATTTGTTCCACACATGCAGTTTATATTTGAGTCTTTTTTTCTTTTTGGAACAATCCTACTTTTGTAGATATTTCAGCCGTCTTCTGTAATGGTTTGAGGTTTTGCTGAATATCTTTGAAGTAGAACTTTTTGACTCTTTGACAAAATTCCAGAAAATGATGCAGCCACTACCATGCGTGACAGCAAGTTCATAGTTTTGGAAGTTTTTTTTTTTGTCCCCAACATTTTACTTTTACCACATTTGATTAAAAACAATAGATTCCTGTCCTTTTATACATCTATTTGCATGAAACGTTTTAGACTTTCTGCGTTCTTTTGTTAGTTCCGACTACTTTAAACTTAATTTTTTTTAACATAAACTGTATTTTTTGCAACTAATATCTTCCAGAAGAACATTTCAAAGATTTTTATTATCTCAGTTTACAACTATAACTATATTGAAAGTATTTTTCCCCACAGTTTCCAGGACTTTGACCTCCAGGGTTCCCATCACTGCACTTCAGACTGGATGTCCATCAGCAGCTACAGAAGCCTGGACGGCCTACGTGTTTGTGGATCTTCTCTGCCTCCCCCTTACATCTCCTCCCAGGATCATGTGTGGATCCACTTCCACACTGATGACACTCTGACAGGGAAAGGTTTCAGACTGTCCTACATCACCGGTAAGGATGATGTATTCAGTTTGTAAAGCTCTGCTGCGTTAGCCCATTGTCAGACTTTTTGACAGTAATTTGAACTGACGTTCTTTTTGTCTTAACCACCCTTTGATCACCAGGACTGAGGACTTTTGTGGTTGTTGCGTAACAGTTGTGTAGAGAGCAGGCTGTAGTGATGCAGTGATGTAATGCTGGATTAGAGTCTGATGTAAATCCTCTAAACAAGGATAGGCTAGGAGGAGCGCAAAATCCTCCTTATCCCAGTAAAATGTTTTCAGGTGGTTGATGGCCATACTGAAAATATAAATCTTGTGGTTTTAGGTAAACCAGAGGCCTCCAGCTGTGATGTGGACCAGTTCCACTGCTCTAATGGGAAGTGCATACCAGACTGGTGGCGGTGTAACTCCATGGATGAGTGTGGGGACAATTCAGATGAGGAGTTGTGTGTGGATTCACCATTCTCCTTCCAGCCCTGTAATCTGAACCAGTTCCCCTGCTTGTCCCGTTACACCCGGATCTACACCTGCCTGCCCCACAGTCTGCGCTGTGACGGCAGCATCGACTGCCAGGTAAAAGGCCGTTTCAGTCGTATCAAAAGTCATGGAGTAAATTTTATTTCGTCTGTAAGAGTTTCACACTTTTATGTCGTTGACATTTCAGGACCTTGGCGATGAAATCGACTGTGACGTTCCCACTTGTGGAGAATGGTTGAGGAACTTCTACGGTTCTTTCAGCTCTCCAAACTACCCTGATTTTTACCCTCCAGGAAGTAACTGCACATGGCTGATTGACACTGGAGACCACCGGAAGGTAACCTCTAAGCTCAGACCATCAAACATAGCTTAGTCTGGAGACATTTAAAGAAGTTCCAATAACCTCCTCTTTGATCTTTAAACTAATCATCTTTCTGCATCCTCCTCTCGCAGGTTATCCTGAGGTTTACAGACTTTAAACTGGATGGGACGGGTTACGGTGATTATGTTAAAGTTTACGATGGTCTTGAGGAAAACCCTCGGCGCCTCCTCAGGGTGCTGACTGCTTTTGACTCCAGAGCACCAGTCGCTGTGGTTTCATCTTCTGGTCAGCTCAGAGTTCACTTCTATGCTGACAAGATCAACGCCGCCAGAGGATTCAACGTCACCTATCAGGCGAGTTGCTCTGATCAGACATTCGAGATGTTCTAAAACTTCTAATCTTTGTGATGCTTCTTTTTCTTTAGCTAGGTTGATTCTGTTTGACCTGTTTTTGTGTGTGTGTGTTCTTTAGGTGGATGGGTTCTGCCTGCCCTGGGAGGTTCCCTGTGGAGGAAACTGGGGGTGTTACACAGAGCAGCAGCGGTGCGATGGGTACTGGCACTGTCCCAACGGTCGGGATGAGCAGAACTGCTCTTCTTGTCAGGAGGACGAGTTCCCCTGTTCCAGAAACGGAGCCTGCTACCCTCGATCAGACCGCTGCAACTACCAGAACCGCTGCCCCAATGGTTCTGACGAAAAGAACTGCTTCTTCTGCCAGCCCGGAAACTTCCACTGCAAGGTGGGACAGCCTGGGTCTGCACACACGCACAAGCCAGGCTCAAAATAATTAAATTTTTTCTTGATTGACCTGCTCTAAATTATTCTTCTGTAACTGTAATGATTAAAAGCAGCGATGAAACAGTAATCATAAAGGGGTCCTTAGGCAGGGCGCTCGGTTTTGTTGACAGGGCGGGGCGCCCTCCTTGGATAATGATAGGGGAAACAAGTTTTACCAAAAATGCCCTAATTTTTTACCTTTTGCCTCTGCAGAATAACCGCTGTGTGTTTGAGTCATGGGTTTGCGACGCGCAGGACGACTGTGGTGACGGCAGCGATGAGGAAAGTTGCCCCATCATTGTTCCCACAAGAGTCATTACAGCAGCCGTCATCGGCAGTCTGATCTGTGGCCTGCTGTTGGTCATCGCCCTCGGCTGCACCTGCAAACTCTACTCGCTGCGTATGTTTGAACGCAGGTGAGGATATCTGAGACTTCACAGTGTCCTCTGACTGGTCACTTTTTCTAACTGCGATGTAAGCTGTGTGATTTGTCAGCAGTCTGTGGGATTCAGACTCTGATTGATCATTGCAGGTCGTTTGAGACCCAGCTTTCCAGAGTGGAGGCAGAGCTGCTGAGGAGGGAGGCCCCGCCCTCTTATGGTCAGCTGATCGCACAAGGACTTATCCCACCAGTTGAGGATTTTCCAGTGTGTTCTGGGAGTCAGGTACATATACAATGTCTGACCTTAAGTATCTTTTCATCACTCGTGGAGACGGTTTTTCCTGCTTCTGTAAAATAAAAAAGACCCAGTTGTGAGTAAAACAGTTCTCATATCGGCTGTGATGTTTAAAACTGGTTTTTATTTCTCCTTGTCTGTCCTCAGGCGTCCGTCCTGGAAAACCTTCGTCTGGCTGTGCGCTCGCAGCTTGGCTTCACCTCCCTCAGACTTCCCTCCTCTGGTCGTCGTAGCAACCTGTGGCGCAGACTCTTCACCTTCTCCCGATCTCGTCGTTCTGGATCCTTGGCTCTCGTCTCTGCTGACTTGGAGGACAGCTCTGGTACAGGGAGCACTGGGAGTTCTGGCTCCGATCTGCTGTCTCCAGACTCTGATGACACGGATACAGAAGGTGAACGAGGTAGGGAACGAGGTGTGGGTGCAGTGGGTGGTCCTGTTGCCCCCCTCCCTCAGAAAACCCCACCCCCTTCTGCTGTAGAGGCTGTTATATCAGTGACGGCATCTGCCACCTCTGTGACCCCAATGCCAAGCAGAGGTCGAGGCCATGATAGGTCCAGAGAAGCTCCGCCCCCCTCCAGCCCTGTCACTGTGGTGACCTCTAGTCCAGATCCTGAATGTCACAGTGATGCCTCAGAGCTCCAGGCTCCTTCCTCCTCTGCCCTGCAACGCCTCGCCCAGAACCTGCACCGCCTCGCTAGAAGCCTGACCCGAACTAACCAGAACCAGCAGAACCAAACCTGGCCCAATCACAGCCCGCTCCGCCAGCTGGAGACAGGAAGAAGCAGCGCTGATGCCACTGAGCAACGAGAGAGCAGAGAGGAGGAGGAAGATGTGGAGCTCCTCATCCCTGCTTCCGACTCTGACTCGTCCTCCTCTTCATCATCGGTCAGTGACGTACGACAACCTCTGCTGGAGCCACACCCCTCCTCCACCACAGGCCTCGCCCCCCATCATCACCGTGGACACAGTGGTCGAGGGGGGCGGGATGGCACATGTGAACACTGTGGGATGGTTCATACGGCTCAGATCCCTGACGCCTGCCTGGAGGCCACGGGTAAGACGGAGAGCAGCGACGATGAACTGCTGCTGCTGTGCTAACAGGCTAACCTGCCAGCTAACATGCTAACTGTCCTGTTTTATTCTCTTCTCATTTACCTGGTTAATATTATAACCAGTCCACTAACAAGACAACCTAACCTGCTAACAGGCAGGCTATCACATCTCACACCTACCTACTGCTGCTGCTTAACATGCTAATTTATTTTTAGTCTAGGCATTAAGCTGGCTAACAGGTGGCTAATATTCTACATAACATATAAACCTTTTTTTTTAAACCATCTAATTCTACAAATAGTGGCTTGAACTAGAAACGTTTCGAAAATGCTAACATCCCTTACTGTTCAACAGCTAACTAAAGTCTAACTTGTGTTAGCATGCTAGCTGGATTAAAGGTTAGCTTTCAGTGATGTCGGAGATAAATGAACCAATCAGAGACTCAGGAGTGAAGTCACTGATTCCTGTTGGTATGACCACGTAAACTGTTTGTTGTTTCCCTGGTCCGTCTGTTTACCACCTGCCTACCTCCCACCCTCACCCCCTCACAGGCCGACGTTCTCCCCATCGGTACGACTGTAAAAAGATTCCTGATGGAACAGACTGATGGTTCCCATAGATGAGAACTTTACACTTGATAAGGAACCCATCTGACCCGGGCTGTGTGAGAACTCCTGGTCAGGTGGGAAATATTTAAAGGTCCCTCCATTTTAAAGGCTGCTGGTTGAGTCTGTTTTAAGGAAAAATTGAGAATGACGAGGATCATGTGACCAGAATAATTTTTTCCAAAGATGACTTTTTTTAGGATTTATTGTTTTTTTGTTTGTTTGTTTTGTATTTTTATTATTTGGTAGCAAAAAGGCTTAATGGTGTTTAAGTTTAAACTCGAGTATCTGAGATTTTGACCCCAGCTGTCAGCCATGAGGTCGGTATGTACAGCTGTTACACAAATTAAATATTTCACCACACTGCCTGAGATCATATGAACCAAGCAGTAACAGCTGACTCAAACATCTACTGATAAATATCTTAATGAGATAAAAGCTCAGTTATAAAAAAAATTCACTATCGGAAAATTGTTTACATATTTTCTGTTACACCAGTTGTAAAAGCAACATACACAAAGCACAACATAATTTGCTATTGTTTTTATTTATTTCTTAAAACTTAATCAACGGTACTTAAAACGTGTTCTCGTCTACGCCCCCAGGTCACATGACCTTCGTCATGAGCAGCTTCAGGCTGCTGTTTCTGGATGAAAGTCAGTGTGTGCCTGGTCACTTCTTAGAAAAGAAATAGGTTACTGAAGAAGAGTCAAGACTACATTTGTAGGGCAGCGTTTAAAGATGTTTTTATAATTAATGGTCAAACATCTCAACCAGGACCAAAAGCAGACTGGCAGCAGACACTTGGATTATAAACGCTCTTATTTTGTGGCTCCTTTTCCTTTCCTGACTGAAGCCATTCAAACATCTGTATTTTTGATCTTTGTTACTGTTTTTGGTACTCATTTGACTGTGTGAGTGTGACTGTGTATATTTATTATTATTATTATTATTATTATTAATACTCTGGTTATTATTGTGTTAATTTGCTGTTGTGTAGCTGTTTTTCTGACCTGCATGATTCAATTTGTTTGGTGTTTTTCCTTTGAGTCTGTAAAACCTGATAAACTGCACTAAAGATTAAAGGTTCACAGTGAGTTGACTCCAGAGATGTAATGTTATTGTTGTCACTTTTAACAATCGTGTTTATGTCCGCCATATTTTTACAGTTGGAGCTTTGCCGCCCTCTTTTGGAGAAGTTTATTTTGTCCTTAAATCTTTCTATTTGTCGCTCTCTGTCAAAAGGTGAAAGGTTGGCGATAACACTTTTGTGTATGGCTGTTAGCAAAATATCTCATGAACCGCTGGACGGATTTGAACAAAACTCTCAGAATGTAATCTGTAATGTAATAATTGGTTGTACCTCTGCAGCACATGAGGTTTTTAGAATCCAAATGATTCAACATAGCTGACTCTTAAAAAACACAAGTGGCTAAACTTCAGCTACTTTTACAATAATTGACCTAAGGTTTAGTGTGGTAGTAGTTGAGACTGATCCTGAAGGGAAGGGAGGTCTGAGATTGTCATTATTGTATGTTCCCATACAGTGGTGAAATTATTTTTCTGCCTTTAACCCATCACACGTGAGATACACCCAGGTGGAGCAGTGGGCAGCTATTGGAGATTAGGTGTCTTGCTCAGAGACACCACGACGTGGGAATGGCTGGGAGTCGAACCGCAACTTTCTGCTCCCCCAGTCTTCTGCCCTACCTCTACCCCATCACCTATTTTAAGCACCAAAATATTGATTACGATTTTTAAAGTTTTCCTATCTCATAAGATAATTGATGAATGTTGTTGAAAGTTTCAGGAAGTAGGCACTGAGTGTATATCTACAACTAACTAGAAAGTTCTTGGAGAAACTTTGACAAGGACTGCCAAAATTTAACATTTTTGATTTAACAGTACTTTGTGTTGGGGTTTGCTCTCAGTTACCACTATACCAAATTGGAGCTGAACAGCTCTAAAATTGTGTGTTGTATTTTTTCCTTTTTAGCTAAGGTGGCCATCTTGGATTTTTGATTTGGACTCAGTTTGTGATAGAGAACATTCACAGCTATAACCTCACCAAATTTCAGCTCAATATCTCAAAAAAATGACTGAGCTATAGTAAATTTTGTGTTTGCCGAGGAAGCTGTGGCAGCCATCTTGAATCAAAATGGCTCCAAACGTTAATCAGTTCTAGAAATATATCTGATGATTCTGTGCGTTTCAACCAAATCCAACAGTGAGTTTCTGCTTTCTTCAGGGACCTCTACTCTCTTAAGTCATGACTTAGCAGCAGTTAGTGTGAGGAGTGTTCTCATTCATTTCCTATGGGGAAATATGGCGTCTTTGTTAGCAAACTATGTCGCCATGGTAACTCGAGAAACGCCAATAAAATGGGGCCGAGCTGGTCATTTTGATACATTTGTGGGGGTACACGTTGCGGTTCGGGCCACATTAAAGTTGACAGAAGAGTGTTTAAGATATAAATAAATAAAGTTAAGAAACCCAAGTCAGGTGGATAATAACAGGTGCCTTCCATGCAGTACATGGAGAGCAGTGTGCAAAGCAATGCACGGCTCTCCTATGCTTTGCAATGGCAGGGCCCAATTCTCTTTTGGGGTAAGTAAAATTCAAGATGGCCACCACAGCTAATCAACATTGGAGAACCCACATTTTTACAGATATTGAGCTAATATTTGGTGTGATAGTAGCTGAGAGTCGTTCACAGCACTTACTCTGAGCAGTTAACATGTTTACGTTATTTTCAAGGTTTGACCAAAAGTAATTTCTCAACACATGACCTTTGTCGAAGCAGCGGGCGATATACACTCCTTCAAAGAAAGCTAGGCTTTACATTTTTAACGAAAATTGTTTCAACATTTGTCCACATTTTAAAATGTCAGCGATAACGTCTTTGTTGTTTCACCTCCTGTCGAGAAGCTCATCGCAGCTGGACAGTTTTCCGTTGATCACACAAATCAAGAGGAATCGTTCTCACTTACAATCATTTTAATTGGACTAGTGTGCATGTTTTTGAACCGGGCGATGGAATCTAAACAGGCACATGAACATTCAGATGATTTGAGGTGAAGGGGCCTCTGATTCG